CAGGAAGAGCAGCCCGTTGGAGCTAGCTGGTGGGGGCTTGGAACCAGGGTGGACCAGCAGTCCCCCTTTCATCTCCCCGTTCCCCTAAGTTCCCAGTGCAGCAGCCGCCTAGCAGGCAGGGCCGGCTCTGGCTTTTTTTGCCGCCCCAGGCAAAAAAGCCTCCCGCCACCCCCCTCCGCCCCCCGGCGGGGAGCGTGGCAGGGGAGGGCACCGAGCCCAGCCGGGGTCCCGCTCTCCCCGACCAGCCGGAGCGCCGGGGGGAGGGCGGCGAGCCCGGTCGCGGCCCCGCTCTTGGGCCAGAGCGCTGTGCCGCCGCCTCCCTGCAGGTGCCGCTCCAAGCACATGCTTGGTGGGCTGGTGCCTGAAGCCGGCCCTGCCAGCAGGCTACCAGTGCCGGCAGTTCAACTGTCCCTCCCCCTCCCACTGCCACGTGCTGCTCCTGCCCTCTGCCTCGGGGCTGCTCCCGGGAGCCTCTTGCTTGCTGTGCGGAGGGGCAGGGGGCAGGGCTAATGTCAGGGTATCCCCCTCCCCCCCTACTCCTGCCCCCTGCTTACCCCTTCTCCATATAGAGCAGGGTGGGGACAGGACAGGGCTCAGGATGGAGAGAGCTTGCTGGCCGCAGCTTCTGTCTCAACTTCCTGATCTTTTTAAAGGCAATGTACTTAAAGTGATGTCAGTGTACTTAAAGGGGCAATGCACATCTCTCTCTCTCTCTCTCTCTCTCCCACACACAGGGTGTCTGTCTCTGTCTGCCATGCTGTCTCCCCTCCCTCCATTCGTGCTGCCTTGTAGAGTGTGAGGCTACATTAACAACAACGTGTTAACCCTTGAGGGCTCAGCCCAATGCTAGTTCATCATTTTAGCAGTAAGGCATTACCTGGGAAATATCCCACCCTCTAACTTCACCACCTCAACCAAGCTTCACAATCATCATTGCTGTGTACCAGTATTAAAGTGTGTGTGTGTATGTGTGTGTGTGTACACACGTATGTTTTTTGTCTGGTAGGAAAAAAAAAATCCCTGGAACCTAACTTTCTCCCCCCCCCTTACAGTCGCATTTTTCAGGAACCTAACTACAACGTTAAGTGAGGAGTTACTGTATATAAATGGATAGTTCAGAGGTATTCACTAGCCAGTGAGAATGAAGTCTTCATTTAGTAATAAACCTGAAGATGTTGCCCATTAACTTGGTAATAACCGTGGGCCAGAGCTCATACTTCAGTGACAAAAACCCATGGGCGGGGTACCAAAGGGAAGACAAAAATCTTTTGTTGAGAGAGGGGTCAGGGTTTCCACCCTACAAAATCAGCTACAGTAGCTGCTTGTAGGCTCACCTAATAAAACAACGCCCAGAGCCTCGGACTCTGTGGATCTGAGTTTGCATTAGGGGAGTTTAAGGGTTAGTTTTTGAAAGGCTTCATGTAGATCAGGGCTGCAACACTGTCATGTGAGAGAGGACATCGTTCCTGAAGTGCACATGTGTATATACCCAACATGCTTTCTGTCAGCTGAACTGGTCAGTGGCCTGTCAGCTGGCCATTTTGCTGACATTTACAAAAAAGCTAGAGGAAAACCTGGTGGTCTTGTAATACAGAACAAGAATGTTTGGGAAAGATCCTGAAAGTAAGTGACATATGGTTACATTGTTGATGAACTGAAATTGTGTAGTTCATTCATATTAATGTGCAGTAAGGTGTGAGCATGGCAGATAAGAGTTAGTTAATGGTGTGGGTGTTTTTTTTGTGGAAGAGAATGAACAGGCATTAATGTTTTGTGGACCTTGCAGACCCTGATAGTGTCACTGCTAACTTTGCAAAAGGAATTCCCCTGAGCATGATCTCTGGTACCCTGGTGTAAAAAGAGATGGTCTCCAGCTGACTTAAAGTTTAATTTTTGTTCTTCTCAACAAAACTTTCAGATATGACCTGGCAAACTATTTGGGTGTCCCCCAAAAAACAAAAGACACGAGGGAGGGGGAAACTATTAAACTTTTCATTCCTCACAGTCCTCGGCAAAAACATTTTAAAAATCTAAATAGAATCTATCCTGCTACTATTTAAAATTAGATTGATCCCTGCCCAAGAACTTATAATCACTGGATTTGTTCTGTAAAGTGCCTAGCAAAATTCTGAATTAATACTGAATTCAGTGCTTTCATGCAGTGTTACCTCTCATGTAGCAGTGCCCTGGTCAGCCATATTGTTAGGCAAGATAATCAGACTGACATTGAGTGTCTGAGTTATAGGCAGCAGCAGGAAAATTGGGTTTTATCTTCCCCATTTCTCTGGCATTGTTTCTAGAAACTTCTATTTGAAATGGATAGGGAAGAAATAGAGAAACCTGCCTATGTGAGCACCTTCTCAACATCTGGCATTGGGATTCTCTTTTAAGGCCTGCCAAATATTTTTGACTCAATTCAGCAATAATTATTTTTTTGCATAGGTATAGTTTATTGAAGTCTAAATTGCAAATTTTATTACAACATGCTTGATCACTAAACATACACGGTACAATCTTGATTATCTAAATCTGCTGTTCTTTATTACAGTAACAGTTTTAGATCATACCATCATCTTCTATTTATAATGAAAAGTCATTAAAGTTCCGATAATGTGTGCCCAAGTGATCTGGATAATCAAGGGTACTGTAAGGCTATGATGTTGTTTCAATGATCTAGGTGTGGCCGCTTCCACTATACACTTAGCAGTGAGAGTGAAACTTGGAGACCAGCTGCATCATTGCTGAACAGCAGCACTACATTGAATAGTGTCGCTGGAGAGGCTGTGGCCTTCCAGTCCCTAGAGCTCATGAGTGGAGTTGGGCAGGAAATGTTTCCTGTTCTGTGAAAGTTTTCACAACTTTGGAATTTTTTTTCCTTTTGCACATCAAGACAAAGTAGGGACCTTCCAATTTTTTTGCAAAAAATGAGTGAGTGAGATCTAGAGAGACCTACTTCAGAATAGCCAGGAGCCTGGTGGTTAGGGCACTCATGGGAGACCTGGGTTCAAGTCCCTGCTCTGTCTGATTTTGAAGTGACATGGGATGGAAAAACTACGCTGAGCCAGCCAGAGCAAGGACTTTCACCTAGGTCTCCCACATCCCAAATGAGTGCCCTAACCACAAGGCCATTGGTTATTCTGAGGAAGGTTGGTCTATCTGTCGCTTTTCCTGCCCCTTACCTCCCAACCCTGAGCTATTGGCTGAGGTGGGTTTCTCTGGTTTTCACTCTAACTCCTTCCTGCTAAAAACTTGCATTTTCTAACCAGAGTGGTGGTGGTTTAAAAAAATACCCAACTTCATAAGACCTGATTTAGTCTTGCATGATCCAAGCTTTGGAGAGCTCCATGCTGTATTGCAGGTAAAGGATATGCACAATCAGAAACCCATCACTGTTAAGCCCTGGAACTCTTTAAGATAAGAGGGGTCACTAAGGAGAAGAAGATGGCAGGGCCCATTGTTATGTTCTTTGAATTAATTCTCTTTCCTCTGCTGAAATCCTCCTTTCATTGACAGATCTTCAGCCTCACTCTCTGACCTACCAACTTTCACGCGCCATGACACTGTTTGAGGCACCACATTTTTTTACCTGCTATTTAATCTAATTCTTTTAATGTAGTACTATCATTCTATACCATTAGCAGTTGTAGTAGGCTTCCATTACAGTGAATTGAACAAGATGTTGTCTCTTTAGTTGTTATACATGCCATATGTACAATTATTCCTCTTCCATTACATTTTAATTGACCAGAGAGAGAGAGAGACACACTTGTTTGCAGTTAGTAAGAGGATTTGATTTTTTTTTTTCTTTTCTTTTCACAAACATTTGCGTGTAGACAGGGTATTTTGCTGCCCCAAGCACAGCAGTCAGGCTGCCTTCGGCGGCGCACCTGTGGGAGGTCTGCTGGTAACGCAGATTTGGCGGCATGCCTGCGGGAGGTCCGCCAGTCCTGCGCCTTCAGCGTACCTGCCGCTGAATTGCCACCGAAACCATGGGACCAGCGGACCTCCCGCAGGCATGCCACCGAAGGCAGCCTGACTGCCGCCCTCACGGCGACCAGCAGGCCACCCCCTGCAGCTTGCTGCCCCAGGCACGCACTTGATGCACTGGTGCCTGGAGCCGCCTCTGCATGTAGGAGGAGGTGGCCTAACCAAAGGCATATGACAAGATGGATGAGAATTATTCTGAAATCAGTAAAGATGAACTTCCCCCGCTCCATTTGCATAACACAATACAACCATAAAATGAACAGGTTACTCCATAATAAAAGAAGAATAATGAAAAAATCATTGGATTTGTTGAGAATAAAGTATAGTAACAGCAGGAAAACACAAACAAAACTGCACTGTGAACTGTTTGTGTGCAATTTTCTCTGACCTCTACTCTATGCCAATGGTCTCCATTAGCACAGTAGCAATATTGGTATGTTGCCCGTCTGATGTTTCGTTTCTTTCCTTGTCTTGTGAATAGAATTCTACAGTTATTTTTCACTTGTTCACGCAGAGATGTTGCAAGGGCTAGGTAGTATTGCTTTTGAGGCAAGGCCAAATGGTGCTTTTGTAAAAGTTTGCTTAAGAATCTACTAGACATTTTTAGTTCTATTATTGTGTAAAATATGATTACAAATTCCACAGACAAATGAAATCAAAACTATAGTAACTGTAATTTGCTTCAAGCATTGACACTCAGGTGTTCACTTTTTCAAAGACAAAATCCATATAATTAGGTGAGGATCATTAAATTATTCTTGCATCTTTATTATTAGTGCATTTGTATAACTGTTTAATTATTGTCAAGTATCAGAGGGGTAGCCGTGTTAGTCTGGATCTGTAAAAAGCAACAGAGAGTCCTGTGGCACCTTTAGGGCTAACGGATGTATTGGAACATAAGCTTTTGTGGGTGAATACCCACTTCGTCAGACACATGTCATGTGTCTGACGAAGTGGGTATTTACCCATGAAAGCTTATGCTCCAATACATCCGTTAGCCTTAAAGGTGCCACAGGACTCTGTTTAATTATTGTATTAATTGGCTAGCACCAAAGCATACAAGAAAACACTGTCCTTGCCTCAGACACATTTACAATTGGTCTGTAAGTTATCATAAAAGTGTAAGGAGGTTTTTGTGAGGCTCCACACTGGACCAGAGTGATTTGCAGAGAAGCTAATAGCCTCTGAGGAAAATTTTGGCTAGAGAAGAATAGAAATATAATGAAGGTGAATCTGTCTAAAGGGCTAATCCCTTGGATAGAGCTGACCAAACTCATTGTAATTTTTCATTAGTTTTTCATCTACAATTCTCCAGTCCTCCCAGAGAACTGCTCAGCTGCTCATCCTAAAATTCTTCCATAACACTTTAATGTAAAGACTTCTATTGTTTTTTTTTTCTATTCTTCCCCTGAATCTTCATTTGATAGGAGTATCAGAGGGCAAAACAAGAAGTTCTGTCCCTCCGAAGAGAAAATTCAACTCTTGACACAGAGTGCCATGAAAAGGAGAAACTCCTAAACCAGCTAAGAACACGGATTGCAGTCCTAGAACAAGAAGTGAAGGATAAAGAGCAAGTAGTAATAAGAAGCACAGATGTCTGTGAAAGTGCACAGGAACACAAGGTTGGCAATAGCAACTCCTGGCTTGAAAGATGTTCCCTAGAAGTGTAAAACATGCACATCTTGAAGATTTCTTTAAATATTCCTTTAGAAAGTAAACCAGTTTTTGAAATGATGTGGTGTTAATGTGAGGATTATGGCTTAAAACAAAAAAATCTTCTTTTGTCAGGGTGTGTATGTTGGCATGGCTACACTATAAATTTAAGCTGACCTACGTTAGGTCAATTTACAGCAACTGCAGTGATTACTGAGGTGGTTCATGTCCACACTGCCTTTCTTCTGTCAGTGGTGCACATCCTCACTAGGAGCACTCTCACCGACTTAAGAGGGGCAATGTGGGGGGCTGAGAGTCAGGGCTTTCTGCTCTGTGTGCAGATCCCCGCCGGTAGCCTGGCTCCCTGCTCCCCTCTCTGCTTGGCTACCGCTCCCCACCGGGCTTCTTGGCTCACCGTTGGGAGTGGGGCAGCCGCACCAGGCTTCTCAGCTCTGTGCTCCCAGTGTGGGGAGCCAGGGGCACGGGGGGCATCCGGGCTCTCACCAACCCGGACTCTGAGCATGGAGCTCCCCACCAGGTGCATCTGTGCTCCCAGTAGGGGGCTGGGATGCCTGGAGTGGCTGCCCCATTCTTGGGGGGTGGTGGTGGGGGAAGGGAAGCCATGAAATTTACAAGAATGATAGCTAATAGATGTAAGTAACGCACTTCATCGCCCTAACTACACCAACATAAGCCCTTTGCCTCTCGTGGAGGTGGAATTATGTTGGTGTAGTAGGGCACTTATATCAGTGGGAGCAAGGCTGTAGTGTGTACGCTGACATAAGGCAGCTTACATTGGCCTATTTATGTTGACCTAATGCTCTAGTGTAGACCAGGCCTATGTGTGTATATATACATAGATATAATTCTTTTCTTCCCCCTTGGCTCCCACCAATTTTTTTTTTAAACACAGTTTCCTTTAAATTTGAAACAGTCCAACGTGGCTACAGTCAAATTGGTTTGTTTAATTTTACTTTTTAAAACAATACATTAATGAATTCAGTGCTCATGAAAGAATTGATAGCCTTGGAAACTGAAGTCCTATTTACAGACCAGGCAGCAGCAGTGTACATTTCCCCATGCTGCCCTGCTTGTGTACATTAACCTTGAGATGGAAGATCTACTCTAAAGTGACCCTTCCTCACCAGGTCTTCCTTGCAAGTGCAACCTCTGGTCTCTTTCTACATCTGCCAGCAAGCATGACAGTTGTGATGGTACTTTCTGAGAGGGACAGTTCTCCACTAGGCCTATCAAGACAGCCTTCAGATGACCCTCCTTCTCGCGACCGCTTCTCCCCCCCCCCCCTTTTTTTTTTTTTTTAAACACACACACTTTAACCAGCAGAGGCACCGACTTTCTAATTGGCCGGGTGGTGCTTGACCCCCCCCCCCGCTCCACACCACTTCCTGCTGCTGCCCCCAAGTGCACCCCACCCTCGCTCCATCTCTTCCTGCTCCTCTCCTTCCCCCCGCGCCTTCTGCTCGCTGCTGAACAGCTAATCCTCGGTGGATGGGAGGCAGTGGGAGGGAGGGGGAGGCGCTGGAAGGGAGATGGAGGAGCTGATTGGCAGGGCCCATCAATGGGTGCTGAGCATCCACATTTCCCCCCCCCCCACCTCCCCGTTGGTGCTCCAGCCCCATACCACCCACAGAGTGGCACCTATGTTAACCAGATCTCCTTCACAGGCTGTCAAAGGTTGCCACTGAACAGGACTAATTTCAATTGGTGACCTAGAAATAAAATGCATACTCTCTCCCATTACTAATCCCTGGAGCCTTGCAGTCACCAGCACCACTAAATTTCAGCATTTGGTTATGTTGACATTGTCCTGTCATGAATACAAAACTATCTTTCAGAAAAAGTTGGAAGAATCTCTGGAGATGAAACAGCTTCAAATTGGAAAATTTGAAACCACTGTGAAGTCTATTTCTGAGGAACTTCTGAAAGTAAGACACTTATGAGCATTTATTAAATTTAATCGATGGGCAGGTTTGTTCACTTGGGTTTATTTATTTATTTTTTTGGGTGTGGGTAGGCTAATGAAATTATCAAAAAGCTCCAGGGAGAGATGAAGAAACTAATGGAGAAGATGAAGTTAAAAAATGCAGTGACACTGCAACAAGAAAAAATAATAGGGGAAAAAGAGCAAACCCTTCAAAAGGAGAGATTGGAGCTGCTTAATGTGAAACAGGCCCTTCAACAAAAAGAGGAAGAGGTAAGTGTCTGTGTGTGTATATATGTTGCATAGAAAAGTACAGAGCAATGCAAATATTTAATGTTTACGTACAGTATGCAAGCTTTACTACAATCTCCTGGAAGGCAGGTTGATAACCTGACTCTCCCCAACCCTTGTAATTGTCAGTGTGTGTTATTAGTATCCTAATGATTGTTATGGGGGGAAATGTAGAAATAGAAAGGTTGGTATTGGTGTTGCTAAATGAGGAAGAATTGTACCAGTTTTAACTTTTCGTTTGTTTCTTTTGAAGACTAGATTGCTCAGATTAATGAATTATAGTAAATAATTTCATTACTGTTCCCAGGTCTTTAAGTTGCAAGAGCAGCTGGACATCACTGTTCAGAAATTGGAAGAAAGCAAACAGCTGCTGAAAACTAATGAGAATGGTAAGGAGAGTAAAGGCACCCTTTAGAATGATGATGTAAACTAGCTAACTAAAACCTGTGCCTTATTAAAAACATTTTATATTCCATGGACATTTTAGTTTTGCTACTTCTCCACTCTGTTATGAGTTGAAACCAATTTCAAGGGCAAAGTTTGATCTTTGAACTGGAAAAGGTGGGTATTGAATTTCTCTGTGTGCATATCGAGGCATGAGTCAAGTTCTGATTTGTTAAAATACTATAAAAATGGATTAACCGTACTGAAGTCAGTAGAGTAACTGAGATCAGAATCTGGTACAAAACTTTTACTGTAAGACTGGTACAGTATATAGCTGTGTGGAAGAGGAAACAAAGAGTATTACAATTAATAAAACTTATATGTGCAAAGTCACATTAATGATGGTTGAATAACAACTCTGCCACTCCAACCCCGTCCAAGACCTAGGTATCAGGAAACAAAGAACATTGACTTCAATGGGAGTTGAAGGTGCTTACCACCTCACACTCCGTGCTCAGCACTGCAGGATGGGGTTCAATTGCATCCCCATTATATGTGGTGATAATCCCTAGAATTTCATTTAATTGACTTCTTTCAATCAACCTCAATTCAGCACTTAATATTGTAAATAACTTGTGTGCATGTTTAATATACAATATGATGGATGTTGTGACCAATGCATTTTGATTACTGTTGGCTTTCTGAAAATACATATGCTGTGTAATTCCATTTACAGTATATTGAAATTAGGTCAGTTGGCCTTGCTTGCATGTGTCCTCAAAGTTAAGGCATTAATGCATTTTCCTATCTGTAGTCCTCAGTTACTCTAATATACTTGCCTGTATTTTTGTATGAGACAAATCAGAAATCTGTTACATTTTATGTAGAGCTGAATGTTTATTTCATGCATTTTTATTCTCCTTGTAGTAATTTCCTGGCTAAATAAACAACTGAATGAGAATAAAATTGCATCTATGCATGGGGCATCAGGTCACAGTGATATGCCATGTGCTGGAAGTGCCACCAATTCAGCAGCCTTGCAGAATGGCCTGGTAAGTATTTCTGCTGTATTACACTGAATTATGGTTGGGAAATCTTTTTGATTATTTATATGCACAAAACTACAATAAGTCTCCGATCTGAATGAAAACTGAACAAAGCCACAACGTTCTAAACATGCCCATCTCTCGCTCCTGGGGCAAGATTCTTGGCCTTGCCTGTAGCTGTTTGTTTTGTATTTTCTCAGCAGCACAAAGCCACTATAAACTGCTCTGAGGGCAGCTGAGGATTTCTTCTGAGTCACAAAGAGGATTTGTTGGGGGTTGAGTGGAGTATACAGTGCTCCTCTTGATTTCCAGTGCTAGCCATTTAAAGCAGCTTTTAAACAGCCCCCAGCATAGGTTAGGGCAGTTTCTTGGCCTCTCTCTTCCTCCTCCTCCTCCTCCCGCGCACCCTATTAACTTTATGCCCTTTCTGCTCCCTATCTTTCCAAACTTTCTGCTCCCTGTCTTTGTCAGCTGTGCTGAGTATCTATCCCTTGAGGTTCAGGTGAGCATGGGTGATGGTTGAGATCTGACTGGGAAGGAAAAACAAAATGTGCAGTGGTTGCATGTGAAATGTCTTCCATTTTAAAGGATTCTGGTAGAGTGAGAGCGAGTTCTACACTTAACCTGAGGGATATGGCTGTACTGGTTACCCCCTCTCAAAGTGGCCAAAACTATACAATGGATACACTTTTTTATATTGTTTCAATGGACACAGGAGGAAATAATAAATTGGCTGGCCTCTTCTTCATTCAGCAGATGTACTGCCATATTAGAAACAGACATTATCCTGTCTGTGAGACTGCTGAACCCAGGACAGAGTTTTCCAGAAAGGTGTCCATTACTGGTATACATCTGGACAATGGAAATTGTCAGCAGTGCAGAAAATTTAGTTTGTTATCTTCATGCAGTTTCTTCCTGATGTTTTATCACTTCAGAATCAACAGGAAAAGATATGTAGCCTCTATCCAGTACATGTTGGCTCATAATGTAAACAAGAAAGGATTAAGAATTGTAAGTAAAATAGTCAATGGAGAAACATTAAATGAAGTCTGAGGTTGTGTAGTGCTTTCCACATTATACAAACACAGTAGGGAATATATATATCCAAATGATACTTGTCTGAAGAAAAGAGCTGTTCAGGAATTCTGAGGTGTAGAACAGATGGCACTAAACTGAAGCTGTGGATGATATTCAAAGCCGAAGAAAAAAATCTTAAGATGATATTGACAGGTGGTACAGAGGTGAAAATGCATCCCAGTGGCTCAGTGAAAAATGCAGCAGTGAAGAAATAGACTGATGTACTATGGAAAATTAGACCATGAGGACATGTTAACAAGCATTTCACTTCTTTCAGGACCATCTGGAACATGGCTTCTAACAAATGTAAAAAAGGAAAAATCAATATGATTGTTAATTCTAAGGGCTGGTTACCCTCACTCAGTCTCTGCATCCAGCTGACAAATCATTGAGTGAGTAGTACACAGCTGAAATAGAGGCACTGTGCTTTGTTAGATGGCTGACATAAGTTTGGCTCCAACTTTTAAAATGCCTCAGAAATAATGTGTAAATTTAAAAACTGTTGCCTTCAGAGTTCAGATTGAACATAATTTGTGAAGAATAATTTTTTTCTTTTAAATGGCAAAGGTAATATTGTGGCTATTATAAATGCAATAGAGTAGAGCCAGATTGTAGAAAGAGATTGTTGTGTCCAGCCATGGTCCAGCTATATGTAACCACTTTTTACTAAGAGCTAGCTATTTTAATTTCCATCTCTGTTTCTCGAAAACACTCAAGCCAGTCTGAAACTTCTCCTGCATATCTTTGGCCCACCACTCGCTAATGTCAGACTGTTCAGAAGAGTTACTTCACCTTACAATTCTAGTAAATGGACAGGTTGGTTGGGATTTTTTGTATCCGTTTAAAAAAAAAATCTGTGGATGGGGAGACTTTAATTTATAACAAAACCTTTAAGGAGCTGCCCCAATGATCATCTGTTTGGAAAGTGTTGCCCTCATTTTCCTCAGTCCTGTTTGGCTTTTTAATTTGTTGATTTGTTCTGGGGATTAAAAACTGCGTGACCCCTCCATTTCCAGAGTAGTGAGAGACAGATACTTTGGCTCTGCTGTCGTTTTAAAATTCTTCTCCATTCCTAACTTGCTGACAGTCAGATGGGAGGTGAAGGACCCAACTCTAGGGATTCTCTGAATTTACTGAGTCCCTAGATTGCCATATGCAGAGATCCATACTTAATTTGGTATTCTACAGCCATCAGAATGGGATTATGTTATCCCTTTAGGAATAGTGAACTGACTCCACTGCTGTGGAACCCAAGAAGATGGCTGGGGTTTTCATTGGCCAGGAGCCAAGCAAGCTAATTTTTTGTCAAAGAACAACTTAAGGAGTAGTTGTCATAATGGGTTCTTTTTACTAAGGACTTCAATATTACAATCACCCTGGATCTGAATTGAAGAAACCAAATTGCAATTTATGAATCTGTGTATCTCTCTAGCTAGATCACTACTGTCAAAATATTTGCAGGAAAATCATTTGGGTAAAACTCTTCAAGGTGTTCTCTTGATGACAGATACAGCTGTATGGCTCAATTATCTTTTATCCACTTAACATTTTTTGGTTGACAAGAATTTACTTTCTTGAAAATTAGGCTACATGGTGCTAGATGGGTTAAGACGCTTTGCAGGATGTGTGTGCACTAAGATGCCTCTGAAAATAAGTGAAATATTTTCTTAATAGGCAGTTGTATATAAAAATAAAGAACCTAGCGATGAGTAAAATTCCAAGAGAGTTCCATGATGATATTGGGAGTCCCTAGATGATGCTATTATAGTTAGTCTAACAAGTCATGTTTAACTGTGTAGGACTTTTTGGGTCTTGGGAAGGGGATGAGGGGAAATCACACTGTTCAGTGTGTGGTGTTTTAGTTTGTTATAAAAACCAGATTTGATTTGCTTCCTAAATCTTGTACAGAAATAATATGTTAGTCTGTAGGTAGCAGCTCTTTCCAATGTCATGAAAGCAAACCAGTCTATTAAACAAGGTAAAATTTTCAAGAGCTCTTAAGGAACTTAAGAGCAAAACCCCACTTTTGAAAATGGAACTTTGGCTCCTAACACAGTTTAGGCTCTCTTTGAAAGAAAAAAAAATTTTTTACCCAAGTTGTCTAACTTCATAGTTTCAGAAAACCTGTAAGAACAGTGCATTCTTTTTTTTTTTCTTTTTTTTTTTAAAAAACAGGTGGGGTAAGGCTGTCTAGAATAATTGGGAAAAGCATGAATAGTCTTAGGGAGAGGAAGAAATTTAAATAGTTGGTGGAGCGTCTTCTCAAGGTTCTCCTAAAATTCAAAGCTGAGGAGCAAAAATGCTAGTATATACTTGTTTGGAGAAGAAGAGGAGGTAGAGACATTTATAATACTTGGATAGATAGATCTGCTGAAGAGAAAAGCAAGCTAAGGGCATATTACAATAGGTTTTGAAACTCTGCAAAAGCTAACCCGTTGTTAGTACTCCCTATGTTTTAAAACTAAACACAGGTTCCAGCTGAATCCATATAGTAATCTGAGAAAAAGTTAAAGTTCCTGGCTAAGGGCAGAGAAATTATGGACATGAGCAAAGTGATTTGGGATAGGATAATGTTTGTGACTGATTCACTAAAAGTTGTGAAAAGCTGATAAATCAGGAAGCTGAATAAAGCTTAGACAGTATAGAACACAAGAAAAGGCTGAAGCCCAGTTAAAATTTATTGCTAACCGTTTTCAAACTTGGATCCCTAAATTCACATATGGACGTTTGTCAGTGGCTTGACTTTTCAGAGTTGCTGAGCATCCAGAACTCTGAGTTGAAGTCTACTGGAAACTCCCACTGTTCAGCACCTCTAAAAATCAAGCTATTTAGGTGTCTTGTATATAGATTTGTGTGCCTCACCCAAACTTGAAGATTTTAGCCCATATATAAAAGGAGACCGTATATGCAGTAATAATGCCTCACCATGTAATACCTGTAAAGCATCTGTGAACAATTAAAGCTCTTACCCTTCACACCTTTCATCCAGAAATTGTTTCATATTTGAGATAAGCCAATAGATGTTTCTTTTTTGCAGCATAACATACAAGTACAAGGAAAATGCAAATATCTAAAACATGAACACAGATTTACTATCAGTGCTTGGTCTCAGAACATGCCTGATCTTAAATTGATCAGATTCTTTTTCATTTAAAAAAAAAGGGGGGGGGGGCAGACAAAACACTTCCCAGTTCCAGTGGCATTTACCACCTGCTAAGCTACAAGATGTAATGACAGAATACAAAGATATATATTTAATGGAAATTTCCTGAGAGGGTACGAATCTTGAAGTGCATCCTCCTATAAATCCCATGTTGCATACTATTCAAAAATCCCAGTTGCACTGCAAGACTGATTAGACAAAGAGTTTTGGAGATTGACAAATTGCCTCTCATTTTTTTTCAGAGGTAGATGATCATTTGTAGTGGGTAAACACCATGGAGATGATGGAAAAACCACTTGCAGTAGAACTGAAACTGTGCTGTGTTAATGCCATGTTGATTCAGGCAGTAGGGTTAGAAGATTACATGATGCCTGTGCATTTGATGACCTGATATGAGAAAAATTGAGAGCTGGCGTGCCTGTGGTTTAAATGTTTTGGATGGATAATCTGAATACTAGCAAATAAGACTGGACAGAGGAAGTTCATTGATAGCCATGTTTAATAATCCACAATAGCGATGTAGAATCACCTGCTTACCCTATTCATTCATCCCAAGTAGTGTTTTGAAAAAAGTGGGGAAAACTATTGTCTGGCTACATGTGAATTATATATTGTAATTTTAAGCTATTGTGGAAAATATTAATTATGAAATAATCTATGAATCTCCTTCAGTCACTCTAATGATGAATTAGTGTTTTGTTATGTTCTCTCAGCTGAGGGAATAGAGCCCAAACCTGCAAAAGTGGCAGCGTGAAAGGAGGACAGC